CTAGTAAATATTTTATTTTCAGTTGGTTTTTATTTTATTAATATTAATGCTACACAGCATAATGTATGAGTGCATTTGAGTGTTGACTCTAACTTTTGTTATATTTGACATAGGATTTAATTTATGTAAAGTCCAGGATTCGAACTTTAAAAATTTTGTTTTAAGATAATTTATGTAATTATATTTATATTTAACATAGGATTTAATTTATGTAAAGTCCAGGATTCGAACTTTAAAAATTTTGTTTTAAGATAATTTATGTAATTTTTTTTCATGTATTCAAAATTCAGGTCTTAATGTGCAGTTTATAAATATATATAAATATATATATATATATATAATATATATAAGTATATATATACTATATATATAATATATTATATATATAAGTAAAATATATATTATATATATATATTATATATATAAGTAGAAATTTATACACGTACTATTGACTGCATTATATTTATGGAAGATATACAAATTCCATATATATTATATAAAATATTTTTATATATGTTATATTTTAAATACATATCATATTTAAAAAAAAATTATTATTTACATTTCCAAATTATTAAAAAAAAAAATCAAATTTATTCCCGGACAGCCAAGTAAACATTTCTTTAAGCAATCTCATTCATCTTCACTTATAACCACCTTTGTAAACACTACTCTTCTGTGTGTGCTGGACACTTAGTCTGCTCATAAAAATGCACATTTCCTACGATTCTACATAAATATAAATAACCTCCAAGTCATGGGTTCATTGGTTTTTTTTTTTACTGGCTGTCTTCTGGTCTGCCACTGCCACTGTCTACGTCTGCAGTGGAGTGTGCACGCGCGATATTATCACCACGAATTATTCATGCAACTTTTGAAAAATATACGCATGCGCAGCACAGTAGCACTTCGGAAACAATAACAACAATAATTGTGTTGAACAAGTCCACGGCTCAAGAACAACCGCGGAACCGCGGAACTGCGGCAGTGTCTGGAGTTGATATATAATGTGGTCTTTTGTTTTCTGCTGTTTGTATTTCTTGTTGTGTTATTTTCGTCTGCACAACATTGTTGCAAACTTAATCACCTTTGGGCGAGACAATATTTTGACGGAAAAATGTTGTTGGCAGGAGACAGGAGGATTTTTTTCATTTTAATTTTTGCATTTCGAAAAGAGAGGCATATTAACTTGAACCTGCACATACGTAATCTACATATCAAAACATAACTAAATTTTTTTGCCTTTCCATATTCATTATTGTACTTTGGCTATATACACCGGAAAGAAAATTATGCCAGAAGGAAAGCAGACTGCAATAAAATTATATTGTATATTAGTATTTGTAATTTTAATACATTTAGAAATAATCGAAGTTACATTTGTTAAGGTTTTTCATAAAAAAACATCACTGGAAATATTTCCCTTATTAAACAACAAAAAAAAATATCGAAATATGCTCAAACCGTACAGTAATATGTCAAAAAGTGTTACGAAAACAGTTAAAAAGAGATATTTAGCTTAAGAATCGGTTATAATTAATCAAGATCAAGATTTTACTTATGCTTTGATAAAAGTAGATGACCAGGTTACACTAAGGCCCAGCTTGATTTATTGTGCATCTTTTGTATTTAACATTTAACATTTAAACATTTAATATCTCAAGGGATCGAACCAGCTCCTTCGGAGGGAGTTTTTGAGGGTCTTCATCCTCTAGTTGATATACATCACATTCGGTGATCAGATATTCCATTGACTCTTCCTCATCACAACAGAATCTGCAAATGTTTGTGTGACCAACATGTTACTTGTCATAAACATTCAATCGATCGCTCTAAACTGTGTATATCGCTTAGTAACTCTTACAGAATAAAACTAAAATTCCTTACAACAAATCCCTAACGTTATTTTCTATAAGTTTGTATATTTTGCCACTGTCATTGGTTTTTGAAACTATAAAATCAATAGAAGCACTGTCAGCAGTAATTAAGTAAAAGATTGTATATTAAAAATGTTATATAGCATATAAATTTTCGTACTTAACTCAATTTTTATTACTTGAACAGGGAACCTCCTGATATCACCCACACAACCATGTAAAAAGGTGCAGTGCTGACAAATGGTATGATTTTGGTGGGAACTCACATGACCAAGCCGTAAAGTTACACAGGTAAAACAAAACGAGCTATATGGCTGGCTGGTTGCTTGTGGTACCGTCCTGTTGAAAACACATCTTTTACAACTATATCTTCAATTAGTAGCTATGTGGCTTTACCAATCAAAATTGACAATTTATGTCACGCCTTCGTCGTTTTAAAAAATTTCAGACAAAATGCCACAGGATATTGTGACTTATAATAGATGTGATTTTGACTGTCTGTGACAACTTTATTTGTTGATTACGATCCATCAAGAAAATGAGTTTTATAGTCCATTATAGCTGAAGAAAATTTTATGCACTAATCCTCATCATTTTCGTAGTAAGCTTTAACAATTTCAACACGCTCAACGGTTGTTAAGCGATTCAATTGTAAAATGGCAAACATAAAACTGAACATATTATGGTCTGGATAATAGTTATGTTTAATAAATAAGACTGCAGTTGTGCTGTGAATTTGGTTCCATGAAATAGATGGTTATCTATTCGTATAACGAAGAAAAGTGTTAGTTAACAGCACCAAAAATTAGTATAAGTTCAGTTTTATAAGCTTTATTTCTCCTTTTTGTATTTTAACACAGTTTATAGTAAAAGGTAAAAACTATTCTACTTCTGTTCGTTGGAAGAAGATGATCTGTGTTATAGCGTTTCGAAAAAAAGCGAGGTTATTTAATGAATATTAAGTTTTTATATACTGACAAAAGTTAGTGGCTTGGCGTGAAGGGATAACTTATTCTCTTGAATAGGCTTAGCTGTAGTTTCACCAAGTTTTACATATGGGTCCTCATTGGAATTATCAGTATCAGTTTCTTCTGAAATTTCAGTAGTTTGCTCTTTTACATCTTCAATACTTGTCTTAACTTCATCATACTGATTTCTTAAAGTAGTGGATTCATAAACTTCTGTGGCATCTTCAGCACTTAACACTATATCTGATTCGTTTACTACAACATCCTTTTCATTGGAATTTATCATTGTTGCATATTGCCCTTCTTTAGAATCCTTATTGTTAATATTTTCGCTGGATGCTGGCAGATAGATTTGTGCTGCGGTTTGTAGTTCGTCAGAGTTTTCGTTAGCATTGATCATGATAGCATAATTCTGCTGTGGTGCTTCTTCTTCAGAAATAACTTTTTTGGCAGGTATTGGAGTCGTTGTCTGACTGAAGTCACCAGTCGTGAATTGGACTTGTGGTGTATGCATTATAACGTTTATCATTGCTACAGTTTTATCAACTTCGGGTTCAGTTTTGTTGTTTTGTAGTTGATTAGAAATAGTTTCTGCCATTTCAGTAGATTCTTCCTTTTCAGTACTCTCTGGCTCACCACTCTCTTTTTCAAAACTTTCTTTTTCACTTGAGGTAACCTCTTTACTTGCATTCATGTAATCGTTAGCAGCTTGAACCTCTTCTTTCTTTGTTTCTTCCGTATTTTCAAAAATCTCAGGCTTAAGTAACTTCTCAGAAGATTCTGTAGTTTTGTCCTTTTCTTTCTCATACAATAATTTCATGTTATCTTCGTCTTCTTGTTGTTGTGCGTATATTTGTGAAAGGGACAGAATGGGTACTTTAAATGTTGTAGTTTTTTCATCAAATATTGGCGCCGCTGTAGTGCTAATTACTTTCTTAACATTCTGCACATATCCCTCTTCCTTTTCTTTGTCTACTACTATGCTTGTTGTGTGTATTTTATCAGTTGAAGTTGTGGTCTCTAAAATTGGATTCTTTTTGTTTGGAGCTGTGGTTTGTGTTACTGGAGTTTTGTTAGGAAGTGTCTGATGTGTTTGCTGTCCGTATTGCTGACCTTCATCGGTAAGTTTAGTGGGATCCGTAAGCACTTCTGCTTTATGTTGTGTATTAGAAACGACAATTGGTTTCAAAAGGAATGAGGAATTAAGTTGCGCAAAGTTTGTTAGACGGTTGTCATTTTCATTGACTGGCTTATAATGATATTGATTTGAAATCTGTTGTATGACATCGGACATAAGGAAAGCCAATTCATCTTTGGTTTCGTTGGAGTTCATAATTATGTCCGCGGCTAAAGTGTTGGAACCATCTACTAGAGTTGAAGCAACTGTTGCAGCTTGTGTTTGGAAGTCGGACATTGTAATGGGCTCTATTGGTTTAATCAGTTCCATATTAAGGCGTGGTTTGAGATCAGCTATTAATGGAGCTACATCTGTGGTATCTTCTTCATTAGCTAAAATGCTATTTAATTTTAAGTTCTCAATTATTTCAGTTAATTCTTTTTGTGTTTACAATAGACATTCAGTTTAGCCTTGTTTGTTATTCTCTGTTTTTTATTGCAAATGGTTTGACTATATACAGTCCCGATAACACTATCAGATAACAGTTCCGATAACACTATCTTTGGTATCGATAGTTGGGACTAGAATAGAAATATACGGGGTACTAGCTCGCAGAGCAGCGCACTGCGACTAGATTGATCTTTGGTGCTGCATAGTTGGGACTATCAGAATAACGGATTTTTATTATTATTAATCTTTGTTTATATTTAAAGTGGTGTGTTTATTGATAGTATTAAAATATTTTCGCACTTATTGATAAAACTATCGATATTTTAATCAATATCAATATTTGGGACTATCAAAAGTTTTCTACCAATAACTTGTAAATATGATTTCTTTCTATAAGGTAGATAACTTAAACAAACATGTCTTATTAAATTTCATTACACCATTATGTTTCATTATAAATATTAAAACTTACTATTTTTTTATATAATATTTAAAAGTAGGTATACATAATAACTTCAGTATCTCTTATTAAAAATATTTTCAATTTATGCTTTCGTTTATATCTTGGTTTTCTTTTTCTCATTTTAGGTCCATTGCAGATACTTTCCGCTTATACATTGTTGCAAAACTGCAGTTTATGATAAGAATATTTTTTGTCCATGTCCATTGCACATCTTTTACGAGTTACTACAATGTTTCGCAAGTTTTCGAAGTGATTTTATCATCACGATGATCATAAAGGCTAAAAGCTTTTTTTATTTAATGAGTCAGTCATTAAACACAATACAGAAAAAGTAAGTAAGAAATAAAAAAATTTACTGATATTTTTTTAATATAAGAATTTTAAAAATATTCGAATTAAAGAAGTATAAAATTAGAAATAATTGGAATCCGTCGAGAGTGAGAGTGGGTGATATGGTGATAAACTGGGAGGGAGGATAGTATTAAATATCTCGGCATCACGTTGGACAAACGATTCACATGGTTTAAACATGTTCAACTGAAAAGAATTAGCTGTGCTAAAATTCTTCATCACCTCCAACCGCTATTCAGAAATGAAAATCTGAATGCTAAGAACAGGAAACGGATATATAACCAAATAATTCGTCCGTCACTTCTATACGGATGTGTAGCGTTTAGCAAAGCTTTAAACACTACTATTTTGCCAGCTAGAAATTGGACAAGCCCAGGCTCTGAGACGGCTTTTCAAGGTATCATGGTACATGAGGACGAATGACATCCTCAGAGACATCATAAATTGATCCCATCAAAAAATACATAAAGGATAGAGCCCTGAAATTATTTGCGAAAACTGACAGACTTACCATCAACGCGTTATCAAATCTCAAAATGGTTACAAGCTCCTCGGGGAGGTATGCAGATCTGAGGTCAATTATTGTTTAGTCTGATGAAGTGATAAACAATAATCTATTCAAGGTGTAAAGAGGGGCTTTGAAAATACCTCGAGTTAAGAAAGAGTAAAGAGAGAGTTGACTGAATTTCCATCTGTGAATCGTTGCTGAATCGCAACAAAATCTATCTATTTTGAAGCGATTGAAGACGTTTATTTGGTGGATCACTTATGACAACCTCAAGCGAAAACGGTTGTGAAACACGGTAACTCTGTATAGCTGAAACGATGACCAAGTCATACGGTGGATTGACGGCTATGTGTTTTGGTGAGAGAATCATGTACTATGAGCTGCTTCCCTACGGCAAAACTTATAACTCGGAATTGTACTGTCAACAATTGAACTTTCTTCCGTCTAAAGGAAGTAATCGTTTAGAAACGGCCAGCTTTGGTGAATATTAGAGGAATTGTGTTTCATCAGGACAACGCCAGGTCACATACATCGAAAATGACTCGCCAAAAGTTCCAGATGCTTAGTTGGCAAGTTATTATGCATCCACATAATGCATCTGTTCCTATCTGTTTCCATCTGTTCATGTTCATGTCAACAATTGAACTTTATCCGTCTAAAGGAAGTAATCGTTTAGAAACGGCCAGCTTTGGTCAATAGGAGAGGAATTGTGCTTTATTAGGACAACGCCAGGTCACATACATCGAAAATGACTCGCCAAAAGTTCCAGATGCTTAGTTGGCAAATTGTTATGCATCCACATAATGCATCTGTTCCTATCTGTTCCCATCTGTTCATGGCGAACGATGGATGATTTTTCTGGTATAAAATTCTGTTCAAGAGAAGCCTGTGAAAATTGACTGTCTCAATTTCTTGCCAATAGGGTCGAGGACTTCTGTGAAGGAAGGGTAATGAAATTATGCATATTTGATCTAAATCGGGATCATTTTAATTATGGTAAATAAGCTTTTAATTTCATGCAAAAATAATGGATTTCTTTTTACTACACCTATTGTAAAGACTGCATTAATTATTATAATATTGTTGTTTCACTTTAATGTTATTCTTATAATATTTTTTAATTTTATAATTTAACTATTTATGTTATTGTAAAATTGATTTATACGAGTGTTGAACTAACGTGATAATAAGTTCATTGAATCAATATAACTAAAATCAATATTTTTTCCAATATTGTCTTAAAAAACGCTATATACTTTTTACCTTCCTCAATATATCTAACAAAATAATGTTATATACTCATCTCTTGATATATGTAAATATAAATTTATTTGCTCAAATTAAATATTTGTTTTTGGTTACGTGCAAAATGTGTTAAACACAACATGAAGCATTAGTGTAAGCTGTAAATGACTTAAGTTTAATGTGATCAGAAATCAAATCAAAAAATCCCAACCTCACGAGATTTCACTACAAGATAATAACTCAGATGCATTTATTTTTCGCAAAAAACATTTAACACGGCTTGTTTTAATGTTTGCAAGTTTATCTTTTAATATTTTAACAACTGTAATTTGTTATCTCAACTCAGCGACCACTCGAATTTATCAATTAATTGTTGCTGGCAACAAATTAAATGCTCTGATCGCAATAAATTAATTGCTCATATTAACCCCTACACAGTTTTGAATTTATTGGGTGTGAAATCCAATGACCAAACAACCAAACAACCAAACAACCGAACAACCAAACAACCAGGCAAACATTAAACCCAAGTGCATTGCTCCATAGTAATTGTTTTTTGCAAATGTACACAACAATTTTGTTTTGCGGCCGGAGGCGAAATCTTTAAAATATCATTATAATTAAATAGAAATAACATGAATGGAACTCGGCATTACCGTACACAGCGGACTATTATGCACTGAGCACTAAGCACTGCACTGTGCATTGTGGGCTTGAAGACTTGACTGCACGGTTGGCACTACTGCTGCTGTTCACTTAACTGGTTTAGTAGGACACCAATTGTAAATGACAAGGAATTTCGTGTGCGATTCGTAACAATTTGTAGCAGACTTCACCTAATAATTAAAGTAATAAAACAAATTACAAATTTAATTACAAACAGACACAGTCACAGTCACAGTCCAGGCGAGTCTAGCTGCTAGAACGGCAGAGTGCTTCAGATGAAACTAGTTTCAATTTGCTACGAAGCTACGAAGTGTGCAACTGCGGAAACGACCATGTAATAAAATTTCTACGAGTACTAAAAGTCCAAACTAATGCCTGGAGAGTTGTAAATGCTGTTGAGAATGCAAAATTAATGGATAGCTCGCACCACATATACTCGTAGAATTTTCTTAAAATTCCAGTAGTCGGTAATTTTTTAAATTAATACGAGTACTAATAAAAACCACAGTAAAAATAATAATAAAAATAAAAACTCAAAAGAACCAAATGCCAATGAAATAGAAAAGGCACAGAGAGACCATAACACTCGGACACTTGTTGAACTGTTGTAAGTGTATCTGGCAGATAGTGGCAGCACAAATGCCCAGAGCACAAATGATAGTTGACTACAATCGGAGAGCCGTGGGTGTAACTGCATCGAAGGTAATAGAAGAGGTGTACATTTTTGGTTATATTGAATTTTTAGTCTAAAACATATTTCAATTTCAACAACTTGTTAAAAATTATTTAATTTTTAATAAATTAATTATTACTTTTTATTTTTGTTTTTATGTAGTCCTCTATATACAAATATAGAGGACTATATTTATAGAGGACTATATTTGTATATAGTCCTCTATATATATATATATATTATATAATATATATATATAGATATATATATATATATTTATATATATATTTAAATATATATATATATATACTTTTCTGTCTTCCGGAGGTGGGTTTTAATAATACTGCGCCCTAAGGAAGAATTCAAACAAATTTTAAAACATCGGCGAGATTTATAGAGAAGAGTATATAAAAAAAAATTAATTAATTAAAAAAATTAATTAAATTAATTAAAAAAATTAATTAAATTAATTAACAATCTTTTATTTTATTCACATTGATTTAATAATTATTTAATTAATAATTATTTAATTAATAAATATTTAATTAATAAATATTTAATTAATAATTATTTAATTAATTAAAGCGTTACCTATAATTGACTTTTCTCAATTAATGACTTCTTAAAAAGAAAGAAGTGGTTTGTTTTGTGATTCTTTTTATTTTTCAATTTTTTTAAAATTTCTGTTTTATTTTTATATTTTTAATAATTTTTTTTTATTTTATTTATTTTATTTTATTTTGATAATTTTTATTTTATTAATTTTATTATTTTCAGTATTATGATCTTTTTTTTTATGATTATAATAATATTATTATTATTTTTTTATTATTATAATACTATTATTATTTTTTTATTATTATTATATTATTAGTAATTAATTATTAATTAATTATTAATTAATTAATTTATTTATTTTGTTTTCAGAATTATTAATTTTATTATTATTATTATTAATTTTTTTTTTTTTTGATTTTAAAAATATTTTTAACATATTTTTGTTTTTTTATTTTAAAATTTTTTTTTAATATTTAAATAAGTACATTTTTTGGTTGCCCGTAACCTATTTTGAATGTAGAAATAGCTTATAAAATAGCTAAAATAGACGAGTATACATCGAAAAAACTTTGGATATATTTATTGGTTCAAGTATCCACACATACTTTTTGAACTAAATGTGCTAGGTTAAGAATTTATGTGAAAAATGCATTCTGTTGAAATAATGTTAATAGTATTTCCTATTAATCATATAGATTAGATGATTGTATGCATGTCGGAGTTAGTTTTATAAGTTTCGATATAGTTATATATGTGGGCAAACATATATAACAGGCTAATAGTGAGTAGGCGCGGCGCATACAACCTCAGCAGTCAGGTCAAGGAGTACGTGGGCAAACTATTACAAATACAGAACCTCTGAATTTATATACAGAAGCAAATCAGTGGTATCTAGGTTAATAACTGTCTTTATAGGGCCTTGGATCATATGACGGAATAGAGCTAAACTCGGTCTACGTTGTGGTATCTCCTGCAACGCTGTGTCTATGTCCAGACCTTGTCAAAACTAGGCTTAGGTTTTTGAGGGTGTCCTTCTTTAACACACTCAACGATATCTCCAATATAAGCATTGGTCAGACTTTCGCCTTTATGAATGCTTGTGGCTGGTTCTAGTTCGATCTTGTTCTACCTACTATTATGAGGAATTGTTGATTCAAAATGGCTTTCTTAGCTAATTGAAGAGGATTCATTCCTTCTTCCACTTCAACTAACTAACTCCACTGTTTACAGCATTCTATATGATTATCAAAGGAACAAAAAGAGCAGGTATTCAGCTTTTCTTCGATATTCCGTAATTATTTGGATTATAAACCAAGTGATATCTCC